TACTAACATCTATTCCGGTTCACTAATTGTGACTGCAGCAGTTTTTAATAATTATGTTTATCACACGAGGGTAAGCAGTGACTTTAAACTTTTTTTAAAATTCACAACTAAAAAATAATAATAACACTCAACCAAAGAGCCGTAACCTCACCACAGACCTTCCTGAGAGGACTGGTGGGTCAGCAGGAAATGTAAGTAACTAATGATAAGGGCAGCCATCTTTTCCACCACTGGCATAAAGATCAAGTTGTTTGTCATGAATCTTAATTAGGATATTTTCACACCCCTTCCTCTTTCGTCCTTCCTCTCCACTCTTCTCCCTTTACCTCCCCTTTCTTGCTCCATTCTTCCCTTAGCTCAATTGCTTCTTTTCCCAACTTCTTCTCCTTCACACGAATGTTTCCCCGATTATAAAAGGGAGCTACTAAATTGCCTGGCACCTCTTGTGAAGATGAGTTGGCTGTGAGAGGAAGGCCCCCATCAGATCAATGGCCTTTGGCCTCCTCGCACATTTATCACACACGGCTTCACACATACATATTTTTAGCTTTGTAACACACACACACTTATGGGTAAAGAAATCAACTTTCAATTCTCTTAACACACACACACACACACACACACACGCAACCACACATACGCAGAACTTTGCTGTGATTAATTAAGCCGTATGGAATAGCAGAGCTCCATAAAGACATCATCAGGAATCTGAATCCATTCGCTTCTCTTCTTCTGCCCCTTAATTGGCCCTAACAGTTCATCACTGGAAATACACACACACACACACACACACACACACACACACACACACACAAACGTACTTAAAAGAAACGGGAAATCTTTGTGTTGATCTGGAGCTACAGCTCTATGTGCTCTGTATTGGTTGTATACAGTATAATGAATGGTTTCTGTTTTCATTGGTATATGTGCATGCTTGTATTTTGAGAAGTTATGGCTGGTTGGATATCACATCCAGTTCCGCTTATTGATTCAGGTTCTTATTGATTCTTGATTCAGATCTCAATATTTTTTGGAGAGTAAAGAAATCACTTCAAGAACAAAAAATGTGTCTACTCATTTCTGTGATTTTTCAAAAAACATACAAATGTATTAGAATATTGTAGTTTTAAGTGAGTCTAGTAAATGGACCAACAAACTAACCCCATCTGTTTCAAAAAATGTAAACTTGAACCTATTCATACACCAATCCTTACACTCTTGGTACCCCTACCATTTTGGCCCCAGGATCTTGCCTAAAAACAGTTGGAGGTGAGGTCTGGAGGATCGCTGAATCCAACCGCTCTTGGATGAGCAACAGCCACCTCATGTCTTTTCCCCTCACACCTTAAAGTATAAGTTATAGAAGTTATGCATACAGTGGAAACCAAATGGCTTGGTTTGAATTCAATTTCAATGAAGAACATATCTATTCATCATTACTTTCTGTTTTATATAGATTTATTGGGCGTTTTGGACAGAGCGTTTACTTTTGTCCATGCACCAAAATATGGGCGAGGAGGAGCTGATGCTGATGTGCATATGCGTCTCTGCATGAACGATCTTCCTGGCTGTATATTATTTTTTCAACATGCTTGTACTCTGTAGCACGCTGGACAAACTTGAGCTAACTGTAGGAGAAAATAATGTTGATACGTACGTTTTCTACTTCATGGGACATTGCTATGTTCATCGATTGCTGTGGACATTGTGCTAAGGCTGACAGGGTCCACAAGTGTTGGCTTGTGTAAGAATATGACAGTGAATACAATACGGCTTCTATGATCTAAAATCATTTGTCATAAGTTGGCAACTCTCGTCACACTCCCTTGAGTTCAGTCTCTCTGTGGTCTTGTTTTTCTGTACTGGAACAGGTCACAGTGGGCCTCCTCATGCTCTCAGTATTACATTTATGCTCTCCTCCATGTCAGTCTTAGGCAGATGGACATGAGATGGATTTAGACTTTTTGACGTAACATCACATCAGACAACACATACTAGAAGTCAAAGGAAATGATTAAAGCCAATAAAACATCACATTTCTGTTATTGTTTTCAGGTAACACTTAATCAATAAGTCTGTTTTATTCTCCCTTCATCACATCGATTTATTTATTCTCCTTCATGACACACTGACAGATAATTTCCCTCCTCCACTTCTCCCCTTCACTCCGTATCCTTCATTCCCTTGACTCATCCATCAGTGCTGGAAAGAAAAAAAATGTTGCCAACATTATTTTGTGATGACAGCACCAAGTGTGCTGCGTTGTCCATTTACTGATTTCATAGACAATCTTGCTTTTCTTGAAATGAGCACTCAAAACGCACAAACTCCTGAACTCTCAGCAGCTCCTCTGACACTATCGTCAGCCTCTGTTTGAGGCTAGCCTAGCGATGCTAGTGGTAACAGGGTTAAACAAACTAGTATCTGTTGCTAGCAACTTTAGGCTAATGTCATTGCAACATTTACACAATATCACTTTCTGTGATCTATTATGCCAAACCATGTCTCACAAACTCCATGATTGAATGGTAAAATGGTAAATGGACTTGAGCTTATGTAGCGCTTTACTAGTCTTCTTCAACCAGATAACAGTTTGAATGTATGTTGGCCAGTTTGCTTTCCACCCTCTTTTCTGGATATCCTCAAGAACTTGTAGCTCATGTGTAAGTAACAGAAAGTCCTGGCTATCATTTATCGCTTATCACTTATCAGAATGTATATTGGCCGGCGCCTCCAACAGGCTGTATCGTCTTCAGTGGATAGCCAATTTAATTAAACATGCAACAAATAAACTTCATTAAGTGACTGACTGGAAATCATGGGTGCTGTGAATGTTGACCAGTATTCATTTAGCAATCCATTTATAGCTGTTGTAATATTTCCTTCTGGAATGATTAGTGGTGGACTGACAGGCCGGCAGCCATTGTGATCCCTAGAGCCGTCCTGCTAGCATGGCTAAAACTGTCAACTGTCCCAACTTGTGCCTTGCTGCTTCGAGACACTCTGCTACTCCCAGGAGTTGCCTGGCACCGTGCCCTCGTTCGTTTCCTCTGGGAGACAGCATCCCAGCTGAATGGGAGATCCCCCCCCCTTTTCTCTGACCCTCTGCTCGTCAAACATATATCCCTGCAGACAGTAAGGCCTGCATTGAGGTTGGCTGGGCTCTGAAAATTGTAAAAAAAAATGTTACATACATCTCCAAAAAGGAGGAATATGTAGGAGGGAAAAAGGTAAATCATAGCGTATGATAGTAATTTAAGAGGGAGGAAAGTGGACTACATGACACCAGTGTTTCCTCCGGCTGTATCCATGTCTCTCTCCTCTCATCTCTCTGTTACTTCTGTCTGTCTCTGCTATAGGGCTGCTGTGGTTTTGATGGGCAGCAGATATTAGGGTTTTGGCAGCATTTAATTCCCAGCTGAAAGTGTTGACATGAGACGGAGGCATGCGAGGAGAAGTAATACTAGACACTTCAATCACGAGCCGACAGTGTTTGGTGTATGTGTGTTAATGTGTTTGTGTTACTGCTAGGTACGCGTTATGTGTCTTTAATTTTTTAAAGGACAATTAACTAAAAGCGGAATCCTGGCACCCCCTGATAATTGTACCTTTTAAAAAGCTAATCTAGTTTGCAATTATAGAAATAAATAAAGCAGAAATGCTCTACTAAAACGTATCTATAGATCATCATTTCCCAATAAGGTACAGTTATGATACAGATCCTGTCGTGTTTATTTATGTACCCCAGAATTCCTCGCCAGCCAGGAGCAAAGTCTCATCAAGGGAATGGATAATTTAAAACTATTTGAAGAAAGAAAATAACTCAGGAAAGTAATAAAAGTCTGCAGTTTCCAAAATTGTTGAACTATATTACTTTATGAATAGTTTATTCAGACTTTCCGGGGTTAAATAACATTGTGCATGTTTGGGTTTTAACAATACAAACACACAAGACCTCATGGAGCTGTTTTAAAGACTCATATTACTTCTATTAAGAACACTCTTTTTTAGGGGCCAATGATATGGATTTTTGGGGTCAATACCGATATTAGCGATTTAAAAAAAAAGAAATCCAATACTGATGTATCGCCGATATCTTGCCGATCTCTGCCGATCTATGTCCGATCTGTAGAGATAGATATAGATGTACACATTTCAGTTTTGTACAGCAACAGATGAGCAAAATGAGTCTTAAATGCTCAAATATTTCCCTTTTTCAAACCCAGACAAAGCATGGACACAGAGGAGGTACTGCAAAGATACAAATATCTGTGTAACAGGCTGCATGGTGAAAGACAGAGACACCGAGCTGAAGTCTTTTCCACTCCAATGAGCTCTTTCTCTTCTTTACGTGCAAGAGACACCCGTGGGAGAGGAAAAGTGACAGACAGAGGGGCATGGGGAGTGTGTGTGTGTGTGTTGGGGGTGGCTTGTCCACTGCCGAGCAGTAATTGACACTACATTGAACATCAGAATCAGAAATACTTTATTGATCCCCAGGGGATCCCCATCGATACAGACTACACATCTATGTGTCCACTGTTGACCATACCCCCTCATGCTGTATGAATATTTATCCAGGTTAAACTGCTGGTCACTAAGAACCACAGTCACTGTGATCTGTTCTTGATTTGTTGATTCATCATTTTACTGCAGGATTATCTATAAGACTATATAATCTACAAGATTCTTTTGATCAGAGAAACAATTTTTTCCACAACATTTTATAATAATTGGTCTGAATGTATGTGCTGTAATTATACATGTCGTCCTGCAGAGAGTCTTTGAATTAATAAGCCACCAGTAATGCGCTTTCCATGGCATTGTATCATGAAAACTGCAGGCTAAGAGATCATTAGTAACATTTTAGGGATATGTGTTCCTATTCTACTTCTAATTGTTCCCACACACCTACTGTATTTGGGAGAATGTAATATCAGTCTGCGACACTAACCACAGTCCTCCTCCCTTCTCTCTCCCCACCCCCCTCTTCTTCTCAGTCTCTATGGCAGACACATGCAGGCCAACCCAGAACCCCCGAAGAAGAACAACGACAAGACGAAGAAGATCAGCCGAAAACCACTCGCCGCCAAGAACAAATAAGAGAAGACGGAGATGAATATTGTCTCCTTTCAGTCAGACTCACTGCATGTGCCTTCTTTCTTTTTGGTCGGAAAAATGAATGACAGCAATATGTGTCAATGATGTTTTTTTAAAGTGTTATGTTAAACATTGTTTGGACTGTATTCCACTGCCCAGGTGGAACTCCTCATGGATGCGTTGTTTGTTTTTTAAGAGCTATTTTTATCTGCCTTTGTGCCGTTGCTTCTTACTTATATTGCTTGGACGTATAGATGAGTATTGGTAACACATAAAAACCAGTTTAGAGATTTTTCAAAGACAGTTTATACTTATACTCCTTTTTGTTTCAATTTTTGATGCCATCAGCATCAAGAAGTACTGTTACGTATGATTCCAAAGACAGAAGTTGCATATGGGTGTGTCCAGCCTTCTCTGGAAACAACTCTGATGTTAAAGAGGCAGCTGTGAGAGAGTAACGGTACGGCTCCACTGCTTCAGGCGAGGACGCTAGGGATCGCGCCGGAGCACTCAACTCGCCACTTGATGGGCGTGTACCCGTTTTATGGCGGTTGGTATATTATTTTATTTTATTTTATTTTTTGCTGTAGGTTACGCAATAGGGCACCACAGGAATGAGTCACAAATGCAGAAAAACTCTCTCACGAAATGCACCGCAAAGATCCCATAATACATTGCGCGACCGCCTCTCCAAGTCTCTATAGAAAAAGAATAGAAAGTGTTGAGACGCTATCCGTAGTCAGAACCAGTGGAGCCGTACTGTAAGTGTGTAAATGATCTGTTTCTGCATCTCAAACACCATCAACACTAACCCTGACTGTTCACTTTACGCAGCTGTCAGATCCCCCCCCCCACCCCCCGCAGCTCAAACACATCTACATACAATGTCCAAAGAAAGCCATAGTTTGTTTTTAAATACATTTGCAGCCAAATGTAGATACATTTTTCAAGTTTTAAGAGCATTATAAACGCACATTTGTCTCTTAAATGGATGCGATAACAGATACCAGTCCCTAATGGGTTCTATTTCTCTCAAGTTAATCACTCTACAATCTCGTGTATAAAGTCTTAAAGGTGAGATATTGTGGACACACCATAGGTAGACATAGGCACACTGTCTCTAGCAGGAGGGATTTCAGTGGTTTATTTATGGGATTGTGGGATTGGACAGTGATGTTCTGCTCTGAACAAGAATCAGTACTTTGAGCAAATATTTCAGATACGATAACAAAAGTCTCTAATGCCGAGGTCAGACTTCCTGTTACAAAGTTCAGCCTGAAACGGCAGACGTAGGGATTCGGGACCTGATCCAAAAATCGATAGTTTTACAGAGTGTCATACTGAATCAGCAATCAAGACCACATCAAAGGACACATCCTGACATCCTAAAAGAATCTAGCACGTTTAATTTATCTGTCTGTTTTCCACGATGTGTTCCGTCAGGACAATAATGTTGTCCAAGGAGAACACGGAGCGCACCTCACGCGCAGTGGTTACGAGCGTAAACAAACAAAATGGCTAAGCGAAAGAAGAATGATAAAGTTGATGCTATGAGATGGAACAATGAGACACAGTATTTCTTTAATTTAGTAGTATTTCCCACCGTGTAGGCCACTAACGGGTCAGACACGGTGAGCATCTTACTAGACAAAAAGATCGTGTAGTCTGACCTCGGCATTAGAGCAATGAATCAGTTGCTTTTTCTGTTGCCAACACTTTCCATTGATTGTGTTCATTCCACTTTCATTTCTACTTGTATGCTTTCGTTTGAACCTCACTGTACCTTAAATGCTGCGTCGTCCTAATAAGTTACTTTGCAAAGCTTTACCAAGTGTCCATAACATTTCAAAAAAAGTGAATGAATGTTGGCCTTTTTTAAATGCATTATGTTTTTATCACAGTATCTCTGTATTTATCATTATTATGAAATAAAGCTCAATATACAACACGATGTAAGGCAAGCTAAGTCAGTGCTACAGTGGTATGGGTGTGAATATGATTTGCTGTTGTCATTATTTGTGGAGTGTTCTCCTTTAACTTATTTTCTCTCACTAAGAACAGTTTCATTTCTCGAGTTTATGAAGAGCAGAATCAAATATTATAACTAACAAGTCCACATCAAATGGGCCAGCTGTTAGTCTTGTGGGGAAATAAAAGTAAAACGTGGTGTGAACTTTCACTAATTTATTAAAGCTCACATATTATCCTCCTTTTCAACCATAAGTCTCAGAGGACCCCAAAACATGTCTGTGAAGTTTCTTGTTCTAAATCCACTCTGATCCTGTATTTGATCATGCCTATAAACCCCTCTATTTCAGCCCTGCTCAGAACAGGCTGTTTCTGTGTCTGTACCTTTAAATGTAAATGAGCTGTGTCTGACCATGCCCCTTCTTGGGTGGCTCAGGCTTTCATGCTCCATACCCTATTGTTTACTGTGAGAAGGCAGACTCAGAGGGCAGAAATAACACCTAGCTGTGGGAGTGTCACCCACCTGGGGGAGGGGTTACTGCCCTTTGTGATGTCATGAAGGGAACATCTCCAAACAGCCTGTTTGAGCACACATTCAAACAGTGGAGCAGGCAAAAGATGGAGAAAATTGACTGTTTTCATAAGGGGGGGGGGGTTGAGACAGAAAAGGGGGCACACATTAGTGTGACCTTTAAGTTTGCAATTTTTATTAAAAGCTACAAAAACTCAATGGCTATCAATATCAACCAAATTCCCCCCCTCAGAGACAAGAAAGTTGAAGTTCCAGTCAGGAAAGGGATCAAACAAAGTGAAATAAAACTGCTGTACTGTAGCTTCAAATTCCAAAAGTTACTCCTGAACGCTGCCCATTGAATTTATACTTCATTGCTCCAACAATTTCCATTGATCATTTAAGATGCATGTTTCTCTTATGTAACATAGCGAGCAGGATGCCGATAGATCCAACATATTTTTATATTGCCAAATGTGCTTTTTGAGATGAAACAATTGCTGATTTACAGGTTTCTGAATTTTTGAAGAAAATAATATTCAATACTGTAGGCTTAGTTTGATGCCTCCATCTATCTGAGAGAGAATCTATTGATGGTAACCTGATTCAGTCTTCACACAATAGAAAATATTATTTAGTACGAATTTGAAATAAATAAGAGTCACTGACCTACACCAACTATCACTTCTTTCCTACATGTCAGCCTTACCACAGTCACTGCTGCACTCTTTTTCTCCTCTTTTGGTGGATGTTGTTCCTGTTTTGTTCTCGCTTCATCTCAATTCATCTCACACCTGTGCAAGGACACAATGAGTCCCAAGCTAACTAAAGCCCATTGATTTTCACAAGGTGATTTATAGGTGGCGTGTGTGTTAGGGCAGGCCTGATTGTCTAAGGGGGGCTGCACTGTGCCACTATAATGAGGGTCGTGACATAAGGCAGAGACACAATCACCCCGCCCACTACAAGATGAGCAGCTAATTTACAACTGCTGCTTTTCTTAATGGCCACCACATTTGGACAGGGTCTTAAAACATTAAGTTTAATCTTCCCATTTCAGTACTTATTTTTACCTTTTAGAAATTGTACTTTTCAATATATCTGATTTCTAGAATATATTCAGAAATCTATATTATTAATTGTTATAATCCACAATGCACCAGCAGCAATAATATTCCATTAAGATATTATATTGTATGTTGCAGCTATACTACTCTCTTGTGAGCAAATAATTGTGTGTGTGTGTGTGTGTGTGTGTCCGTGTCCACTGGTTGTCCTCTGGTCCTGACAGGCTGTGATACATTTTGCAGCTATAATCTCACTATTTGTTTTGTTCTCCCAGTAGGGTTTTGTGTATGTGTGTTGTGTGTTTACATTCAGGATGGATGTGTGTGATTAGGCGGAAGTATTCCTCTCTTACAGCCTTTCATTTACAGGGCATGATGTGAGGAACTCCAGTCCGTCTCCACCTGTAAGGTGTTGCACTGAGGGCAGTCTGTCCTCCTCTGGGAGGCGGAGCCAGCTCTTTTTCTAAGGAAACCCATCTCTACAGCCAGACTGTGCTCGCTGAGTCTGTACATCGTCAGGACTTTTCTTAGAGTATAGAATTATTTTACAGTGCTCCGGTAATCTGTCAATGTGTAGACTCTGTTTGGGGTTAGATATCATTTGAATTTACTGTGTTAGGGTTTTTTCCTTCTAATATTTCATGTAGTTTTCTTTTCTTTTTTTGCTCAATCATTTGGTTTAGAGCAAATTGGGGGGGATTTGGGATCCTGAGGCTGGTTTGGTCTAAGTGGGGGCTGTTGGGCTCCTGAGCGTGGTTTTGTTATATGTGTATCGGGGTCCTGAGGCTCTCCGTTCCGGGTCATGAGATTTGGGCTGAGCCTCTGGATCAGTTGGTTGAGTGGACTTTCCTCTGGCTTCAGAAACATAATATTAACTGCTGAGGAGGAAAGGAACAGCTTCCTTTAAAAATTAGTGTGAGAGATCAGAACCTTCATTTGGGGTTAAGCCTGCTACACCAAAAGGATAACATTTTCATCAGGATAGGCTGGCATCTCTGTTTCGCTTTCCTATTTACTGAGCGTAATTAATACTTAATACTTAATAATTAATTAATACTGTTTTATGATAACTTTTAGCTTATTTTACCACCTGGAGCTCTAAAAAATCTCTAACGCTAACAAAATTGGACGTAATATGAGCAGTATGAAAACCAGGCAGGCTTCAACAACTAATGTGAATACACAAGTCAGACCTAAACAACAGAAAGCCCGATTTGTAGGAAATCTAAACTACACTTAGATTCAAGAAAAATACCTGTTTTTTCTACGGTTTATTTTTGGGCTTTTAATGTTTTTAATTTGAGATACAACAGTGGAAAGAGCCAGAACTTGGGAAAGATAGAGTGGGGAATGACTCATGGGAAAGGAGCCACAGGTTGGATTTGATAACAATAAGTAAGGTCTTTTTACCTGCTCTTTTGTAATATTAAATAACAAAGAGTAAGGTCTTTTACCTGCTTTTTGTAAAGTGTCTCGAGGTAACACTTGTTATGAGTTGGCGCTGTATAGTGTGTGACCTCACACGTTTCCTTTGAGAAAACATGCACTTTATTGATGAGATGCTCCAGTGTCCTCTGACAATACAGCTTATCAACCATCCACTTTCTTCTGCAGAATGTCAGAGGTCAGACGTCTGGACGTGTGAGGTGTGACTGCAGACAGATGAGAGCTGGCTTCATTTCCCCAAGTATAGACATCCCATTGGTCCTCCTCTGGTCACTAGTGTGAGATGGAGTTCAGGTCACATCCAGGTAGGAGAAAGTATCCACCTGAAACTCTAGGCACACTTGCTTACTGCTGTAAGCAATAACGAATAAAGAAATAAATTACAAATAATTTAGTTTTAGAAACAAAAAAACTTTGTCAATCCTAAAAGGTTAAGATTGAAAGGCTCTCGACTAGGTAAGGATATAAACTAGGTATATATCCTTACTGTATAGACAGTGTAAACATATGATTTATTTTAATTTTATTATACTACTCTCGTATTTGACTTTCATTCTTGATCTTTTTTAGTGTTTTTAAGTTTTTGCCTTTGCTTTCACTTTGTGTAACAGTGTTTCTTTATTGCTTGTGAAGCACTCTCAAAGATTTGTTTCTAAGAGTTATCTATAAATAAAGTTGAGAATCATTATTATTATTACTCTGCCTGGTCCCTTGCCTTTTTCTGTTCCTCCTATACCCTCAACAGCAATTCATCATTCACTGGGCTGATATTGAGTGAGCTGCCAATTCAATGATGCTCAGTTACCTTCAAAGCTCATTTTCAGGGACTCTCGATAACTGGACGTTTCAAGGCCTAATGAGGCCAGAAAAGACAGGACCACTTTGATTTTAGAGGCGTCAATACACCATGACTACCACACTGTTCTCGGGATCCTGAAGACAAATGACTTTTGCATATGCAGTGATTTGTGAATGGGCGGTTAGAGCATGTGCTCACAAAAACAGTCCCTTTAAACTCCCTGGTGTCCGCATTACATATACGCAGAGTTTCCATGTTGTCATGTTTATGGAGAAAGTGGACGACTTTAATGAAGACTTAATGGACAGGGTTAAAGGTCAGTGGTAGCAAAGTTTTTCTGTTATCATCCAAATATTTACATCTTTTTTTAAAGTGACTTTCTCCTACCCTAAAAGTTATTTTTGCATGGATTATTATATTTCACTGACATTTTAAGGGGCCATTAGCTTGACTTTGTCTAAAGTATTTTATTTATTTAGAAGTAATACATCGGTGTGAATTACATTACAAATGAAGGTCCAACTATTTTAAGAGTATAGTCTTTGGTAACGTAGAATCTGAGATGCACATGCAATAATACTTAATTAATAATGGTAATTATTATTATTTTCTAAAGATTTTTTTTAAAGAATAAATTGTAAACTATCACGAGCATGTTGGCATTGCAACAAAATAATAAAGCAAATCATGTCCCTTCCCTAGATCAATAAATATTTGTCAAAAATGTTGGTAGTTCCCAGACAGAGCCTGTTACCAGAGGTGTCTCTGAATTCATATTTTTTTCATCCAAAAAAGATTTGTTTTATAGGTTACATTTATTGATTCAAATACAAGGTTCGAAGTGAGATCCATGTCCAAGTTGTTTAAATATTCTGATGTCTTGTAGGCCTGCCTGCCTGCCTCTCTCCATTGAAATGCAGTATTTGGTGATGGAGGTGTCCTATTAGACGTCCCTTTGGATTGTTCATGCGTCCCTCACGTTGAGTTAGAGCCTGAAGAAAAAGCGATCTCTGATACACCTGTGTCCCCTCAGGTTGGACATGTAGCAACAATTATATCCAAGTCAAAGTCTTCATGCTGCTCTAACATAATTTTCTATTGCAGCCAATGAAAAAAAGGAGTCAGCAGAGGGTTGATAGATTAGTATTCGTAAAGTAGCCTTGTTTTTTTTTGTTTTTTTCAAGTTATTCTTTGTCGCTTTACCGATCTTTTAATGATGAAGTTATAACAATAAAGCTGTTGGGAACAGGTGAAGTAGCGACTATAGGCTTAGGTTCATATTTCGTGATGGTTCCATGAACACACTTTCTGCCCAGTAGATTATCATAGTTCAAAATATATTCTTTTTTTACGAAGAAATATTCCCAAAACAGTTCTTAATAAATAAGTGTAGGTCTATATGTGGATAAAATAAAATAATAAAACGATTCATCCTTACCGTACTTAAGGACAAGAATCAGGATCCTACTCTCGCTCCCCCACCCCCCCTCTCTCTCTCTCTCAGTCTCTCGCTCTCTCTCTCTCTCTCTCAGTCTCTCTCTCTCTCTCTCTCCCTCGTTCTCTCCCTGTCTCTCTCTCTCTCTCTCTCTCTCTCTCTCTCTCTCTCTCTTTCCTCTCTCTCCCACCTCCCTGACGTGCTCCTGCTGTATCTGCGCCTTGGTATTTGTGCGCTTTGTATCAGAAACTGATCCTGATCCACCTTAAGAGTTCAGCTTCTGTACGATACTTTGGTTTGGGACCTGTGGATCAAAGAGGGGCCAGTCCCCACGCCTGGATTTAAGAGCGTCTCGGAGATGCTGAATCCAGTTCTTTTGAACACTACAATGCAGTAAAGGGCTGAACTTTCAGAGAGATTTGAGTAAGTAGCGCATCAGCAGAAAAAGTGTAGAAAGGAGAGGAAAGGGGGAGCCGAGGGGAGGGGGGCAGTGTTTTTAAAAGTAAGGTAATAACACCAATACAGTGTAGCTCAGCTACATTTTTTCTTTAAAGGGTTGCCTCATTAGCCAGCAAAATTTCACCCAAAAGCAGACAACCGGATCGCCCTGCGCTGACGCGGCTGGTCGGCAGGAAGCGGCTAGTGGCGGCAGGGGTCCTGGGGGTCGTTATGGTACTGGTTTTGGTCATCCTCATCCCAGTTCTTGTAAACTCGGCGGGGACAGCGGCTCATTACGAGATGCTCGGTACCTGTAGGATGGTGTGCGATCCTTATGGCACCAAATCTCCGACCAGCACCGCTACGGCGGATACGGTCCGGGACAACAGCCTTGTGCAGTCTTTACCCACTTTTATCCAAGGACCAAAGGGAGAACCAGGTCGTCCAGGTAAGGCGGGTCCTAGAGGACCTCCTGGTGAACCGGGGGCGCCCGGTCCAGCGGGGCCACCGGGAGAAAAAGGAGAACCGGGCAGATCTGGTTTACCTGGACCTCCGGGACCAAACGCAGCTGCCGGTGCCATAAGCGCGGCCACCTACAGCACCGTGCCCAAGATTGCCTTTTACGCAGGGCTGAAAAAGCAACACGAGGGTTACGAGGTGCTGAAGTTCGACGACGTTGTGACCAACCTTGGAAACCACTACGATCCGACCACCGGGAAGTTCACATGCTCCATCCCCGGGATTTATTACTTCACTTACCATGTGCTGATGCGCGGAGGGGACGGCACAAGCATGTGGGCTGACCTTTGCAAAAACAACCAGGTAACACAAAATGCGCATGTAGAAACAAACGTTAATGACGTTAAGTGTGACGTTAAACACGCAGGTTTCACGGTTGGATGTCGCAGTGTTTGCGGGCTTAATGTTTACAAACAGTTCCTTACGCAGTTGTGGGAGTTCTTGTAGTTCATAGAGTAAGCACTCCATTCACCCATGTTTCATTTCAGACAGTCAGATTAAAACTGAATTGGACAACAAAGTTTAGGCACAGAACATCAGCTCCGTTTATTATTGTTTTTAATAAAGTAAGCGGAGCATATCTCCGATCGTTAATATCAGCAAGTTATTTCAGGCCTATTGTAATCATCTTTCCAAAAACCAGTCACCACGGAGAGTCTCTTTCAGAATGTATGTGCTATTTTGTTTAGGTGAGACAAGTAGGGGCTACTTTAATAGAGAATGGATGGGCCTCAAGGGTGAAGAGGAAGAATCCAAAGCCTAGTGTGGTCTGAAGCTCATGGGTTTCATGGGTCAGAATCTTTGTAAGTAGGTCTACTTTATATACTCCATAAAGTATTTAAAGTAGACCTACTTACAAAAATTCTGAAAGATTAAGTATAATAATTTTCCTGTAACCAAACACAATAGAAAAAATTGTGGTCAAGTTTTAAATTACCACTACTACTATGTTTAGGCCTGCCCCTTGAACCAATAATAATACTAATAATAATGATAATAATAATTAGTAGACAAAGACAAAACAATAATACAACTTGAGCTTTACACCACAGAGGTACTTAGTTGCCCCCTGTCCTCTCTGTTGCGTGTTTGTTCCATCACTGTGTCCTGCTCTCTCTGCGTCTCTGTAGTGATCAGGCTGTCAGCAGCAGATCTAATCCATGGGGCAAACCAGTGTTGCAGCGTCGGTCCACCAAGCACATCCCTGCCTGTCAGCCTGCAACTGTAATGCGTCTGAAGACCCCACAGAACAGCAAAAAATTCTGGGATTAGACCAGCAGAGCTTCACACCATGAAAAATCAGATGCTGTAAGACATGTTTCAATTAGAGGTACAGCTACTGAGACTCTAAAACATTTTCAGAGGGAAAAACACATTTCTGTGTAAATGATCGGCATGTGCTCAAAATGCATGGCCTCCTAAAAACACATGAAAAAGTGGGACTTGAACATACATGTATGTTAATTTAAAAAAAAAAAATACAGATTCTGCTTGTTCCCAGTGAGTATCTGCATTTCCTATTATTTAAAAAATGATATTTCAAATAATATCTTGAAATTTAAACAAGACAGTACTGTAGAGAAAAAGTAAATTCTGAACAAATTTTTGAGTTCAGAATGGAAATTAAAGCAGGTAACATTTTAAACATTTTGTTTTTTGCAGCATCTGGAGGCGTGTGTGTGTGTGTGTGTGTGTGTGTGTGTGTGTGTGTGTGTGTGTGTGTGTGTGCACATACATACAGTAGCGATTATTAAATTCTTGCTTTAGCTTCTTCAATAGAGTGACAGAGATGTTATTTAATGTTCGGTTATTTTAAGGAGTCTGAGGCATGTTTAAAAAAGATTAAAATGGATGTATCCTCAGAATCTAAGAATGGACTATACTGATAAGTCATTCTTAAAGAAGTTATAATTATTCACATTTTAAGTCATAAGTCACATGAAAGCACATTCTGCAGGATTAGGGTAAAGCAGCATGTCTTTTTGATCTCAGAGGTTCCTAGATAGACTAAGTCTTTTCCATTCCTTTTTCTTCACACCATCAACCTTGTCTTTGACTGCTGGATGTATACCACTTCACCTTTTTTTTTTTTACCATAAAGACAACAAACTGTTTTTTAAAAATACATTTTGACATATACAGTTATTCATTATGAATCCTGATACAACAGTCTCATAATGCTAAACCTGGATTTAAAATGAATCCTAATTGTGGGACATTACCTTTTGCTTGTTTACCTGGAATTTTAAAATACCAGCAGAAAATGTGTTTCCAAAGAAAAGGCCATTTCTCACTGATGGACTGGGATGCTCATCTGTGAATCTTAATTTGTTAGTGTGATGCATACATACATAATAGTCTTTAATTGGCTTTGCAATCACAGTAATCATGTTTTTTTTTTCTTCCATCATCAGTAAAATAGATAGTTTCTTAAAGTCCCCATGAAACAGAATTTAGAGAATCAAACTGCCATGACATGACATATTTCCAAATGAAATAGGAAAGACCCAATCACAAGACAGAAAGTGAGACATACAAAAGGGATGAATGTGATTAGATCGTTTGCTTCGACAAAGCTTTTTAATTGGGCCAAAAAATGTGTGAACAACCCTGAGTGCAGGATGAGTCATTAAAACATTGGCAGAAATTTAAAATACAGCTTATGTAAAATACTCATATAATGCTGTAATGAAATATATCTGGCTGATAATGGCAGAGAAATGAACATTTGACTGACTAATATTTGTCTATTCGGCCGAGAACTCCATGTCGCTCATGTAAAAAATATGCAAGCCTTCTAATCTTAACATTTCCTCTGGTGTGAGACACATGCATGAGAGGTGCTGCACACAACGGCAGCCTGAAAGCTCTGACTTGATATCATCCATCCTTCCATCCATTCATTATCTATACCGCTTTTTCCGTTCGGGGGTCGCGGGGGGCCCGGAGCAGATCCCAGCTGTCATTGGGCGAGAGGCGGGGTACACCCTGGACTGTTCTCCAGTCAATCACAGCGCTGACATCGATAGACAGACAAGCAGCCACACTCACATTCACACATATGGGCCGTTTAGAGGCACCAATTAACGTTATCATGCACTGCAAAACGTCATTCTGCTGGACTCCCGCTGGACTCTACCTCTCAAAGATCTGATTACTTCCCTCAGTTATGTCCCTGGCCAAAGAGAACCATAGACACAACATGATATGTGACTCCCAAGAAAGCCAGCAGCACAAGTCAAATCAGATTCACAGCAGCAGCTGAACTCTTTTGGAGATGAGCAGTGCCCAAAAAGTACAAAAAGTAATATTCTACTCCTCATCTGCCCTTACCCAGAACAAAAGATGAAACAAAGAACTATTTCCTAAGCTGAGCTCCTCAACAAAAAAACATGAGAAAAAAAAGAACAAAGAAAAAGGCCACTCACTACTACTCTGCTACCACATGCTCTAACAGTGAGTCCATTTACACAATTATTTACAACAAGCACGCAATAAATACATGATTAGCTTCCAAATAAGGTATGTATCAAACAAACTTCTGCTGCCATTACATAACAGAATGTAACATGTACTGTATAACACAACACAACGCTGTGATGAACGCTGGTTTGAAGGGCACCCTGGGAATGTTTGCCGAGGGCCCCAACGGACTCCAGAGTCGCCATTGATGATTAGTTCTATTTAAATTAATATTATGCCCATATTCTTTTAAATCATTACCATTAATCATTTCCATCATTTAAAAAAAAAACTTAGAACAAACATGTTCAAAGTCCAGTTGGGCTGGAAAAAGCTCAAAGAGGAGTGTTGTGACTCTTACAACCTATTTTGGAGCAAAATGGAGGACAGCTCTTATCGCCCGTCATTGAACTCTCCCACATTGTCCCAATTACACTGAAAATCTACCTGGGCCCCTTTGACAATTTAGAAGCAGTTGAGCCCCTCTGTAAACTTTTCAATCCTATCCCATGCAGTCCCATCTGCAATAATCACACTTTCTTTCCTTTTGATTTTGAGTAATTCGTTTCACTTTGTGGAGTGAAAGGGGTTTAACTGGATTCTCTGACTTGTAATCCAGTGGGTTCTCTAACTGTTATGGTGTCATCTCCTGAGGCGCCTGGGATCATTTCAAGTATATATGACCTGATATTAACTAAAGTTAACTGGGGAAAGGAGCTTGGCCTCGATTTAACAGACTTATGGGGCTTAAGCACTTCACAGGTTAACTACATACTCCTCCTGTGCCAGTTTAACTTTAAAGCTCTGCATAGGATTCACATGACAAGGGCTGTAGGCTTACCAAGCTTTTCCCAGGTTCAAATGATACCTGTGATATCATGAATAGCTTGAAACCAATAGATCATACTCAGAATATGAGTAAACATATTAGTTTTTTTTTGCTGATATTATGTATGTAAATAATCTGACTTCTTTAGACCTTAAATTTATATTAAATTCTCTTATTTTCTGAAGCAAGCACCATGACCCGTTTCCCAGAAAATTTTAAGAAACAATATGAAGGAGTTAGGTTTGGTGCGCTTTGGCACCAACCGAAGGTCTCTGGGTGCAACTGCGCTGCTAAAGAAACGCATAGTGCTGCTACCCCTACCCCTCTTAGACAACATGCAGTTTTCAAAGTACAAGACGTTGCGAGAAGCTAAACAAGTATGTCAACTGACAAGTAATACTACTGGATTTTGTGCAGATATGACTCTGCCAGAGTCTGTAGCTTGCTGTTTGCGAACTGTTTGCAGGTGGAGTATGTTCACAGTATGTATATTCAACTGTTGCCATGATATCTATGGGCTGTGGCTAAGAGGAGAGGGTCATTTATTATGGTAGATGAGATAGATTTGTAAGATACAAAAGTATAAAGCTACCTTGAAGATCGACAAGGGAAAGATGACTTGCTTGCTGAGTTTTAGATGCTTCTGACAGAAGAGTGTCGCACAGCGGTCCCTGCAGAGGACCCTCAAACTGGCTCCACGTCAGGCAGCACTGTTGAAATTGACTTTTTTTGGTTTTTGGGACTGAGTCTGAGGGCATCTACTCAGCAGAAAAAGAAGTAATGGACTACTTGAGGGGGGCTGAGACTCTGAACCAGTTCTCAAACATCAAAAACATCTACATGCAGTACAACAGCCCAACCCCATCAAGTGCACCTGTAGAGTGGCTCTTCAGTTTAGGAGGTTTGGTGCTCACTCTTAGAAGGAACAGACTGCCTGATAACTGCCAATGTCCATATACTCTGTGCACGCCGCGGCCCATCCGTCCACTCTAGTCAACGTTTGTATTAACAG